TTTCCATAGCTAAACAGTCTTTCCATCCAGCAATCGTCCTTCTCCGTATTTACCTGAATGAGCTGAAAACTTATATCCACCCAAAATCTTCACACAAATGCTTCTAACAGTTTTATTATTGCCCCAAGTTGGAAACAACCATAGTGTCCTTCAATTTATACCATAGATAAATAAACCATGGCACACCAGTGGAATATTATTCAATAACAAAGAAAAGTGTGCTATCAAGCCACAAAAGAACAATGAGGGAAATGTCAATGTACTTGCCAAGTCAAAGAAGTTGGTCTGAAAAGGTTTCATATTACATGAAGTTCCCACCTATATGACATTCTGGAAGAGGCAAAACTATAGAGACAGTAAAAAGGTCAGGGGTTGCAGGAGTTAGGAGTTGGGCACGAAGAGGTGACCCACACAGGATTTTTAGGGCAGTGAATCTATTCTTAATGATATTGTAATGGCAGATACATGACATTATACATTTGACAAAATCCATAGAGGTTATATTCTATGGACTTTAATGAATAATATGTATCAATATGGATTGATCAATTGTAACAAGTGTCCCATCAAGGCAGATGTAAATAATAGGGAAAACTGTGTGTGGCGGGGTTGGGGTTAGGTGGAAGGAATAGATGGGAACTCTAGGCACCTTCTATTAAATTTTTCTGACAACCTAAAATATAAACCTACTAATGGGAATAAAACACCCAACTTAATCAATTTATTTATTGACTTTTTTTTATTTCCAATAAAATCTATTGAGCACCTAGCATTTTTCAGGCATCACACAGGCCACACCATTAGGGTAATAATCTATGGCATTTGTTCACAGAGAGGGAGTCTCAGTGTTGTCATTTAAAGAAACTCAGTTCTCTATAAGGTTGAAATAGATAATAGCAAATGTTGCTGAAGGATGATGTGGAAGATAGGATGATGTGGAAGATAAAGTCAAAGAGCATGAGCCCTTCCATAATCCACACCTAAAGGATAAAAGTATCCAGAGGTCAGGAACTTTTGTACCTGGAAGCATAAACCATCTGTTAATGTTAGGTAAAATAATAATAATAATAATAATATCCAGGAAGAAACTATGGAGCAGAACTCAGATTTAAGAAACAATATATTCTTTCATTTTTTTTTTAACTGACAGTAATACAGCTTGAATACCCTGATTTTATTCCTTAGGTAGAGGAGAAATTCAATGTCAATTATTAGTGGGGCCCCCTCCCTTCCTCCCATTAAAGTTGAGGGTAGAATAGTGATTCAAGATTCCTGGCTACTGGGAACATGTGGGAGGCACCTGGGCTGTTGCACATGGAAGGTCCCTTGTCGCATTATTCTTTTGCTTCCCTGATTGTGTCTGGTGCTATGACCCTCTGCCATCTGCACAACACTGCTTCTTGGAAAGGACTTCCAACTATCCTGGTTTTATTCTCCCTCGTTGACCTTAAGTTTTCTTTTGTTCATAGGCTTGATCACAGGGAACTTCTCAAGGCCACTCTCTGTGCTTAGTGCCAAGCCTTTGGAGGCATCTTGCAGTCACCTCCCACCCAAGGTCAAGGCACTGTGGGATGCAGCATGGAGTAGGGTATGGGTCTCCACCTCTAGGATACCTCCCACCCCTTTGTCCACTATTTCCCCTAGGAAATCTCTTCTTTAGGAGTCTACCTCCATCATAAATTATCATAAATATTATGGAAGATAGTATGGAAATTACTGAAAAATTAAAAATAGCACTATTATATCATCAAACAATCTTACTACTGGGTATATAATCAAAGGAAATGAAATTAGTCTGGTGAAGAGACATCTG